ATACAGATGTTTGAACATTGGGTCTTATGCAGTGCTTGTATGAAAAAAAATTGCAATTCATAGGAGGGATTTAGGAGAAAACTTACTCCTGTAACAATGCAACCTTGGCATTTACAGCTCTTGTAGTTTATTCTCCAGCGCTTGGCTGTTACATGCTTTAATTCTGGTGTCAGAACTTTGATCCGCAAACTGGTTAAAGCCATGAGTCTTCAATGCCATTTCTGTGAATAAGGAAAGACTGAAAAAAAATTGCTGGAAGTCATAGCCCTATATGGCATTGCCAAAGCAATCGTCATGAATGCTCGCTAGCATGTGCACAGGTGAAATGCATCATGCTCACAAGGATAATTTAATTTTTCAAATCTGATGTGGAGCCTCATCAAGCCCATGGGAGAAGTTTATAAGAATACAAACAAAAGTCACGAGGCCCAGTGGTCCATTTACTTTGGTCATATTTTTGCAAATATAATCATGGTAACACTGGATGTTTTGGAGAAAAAATGAATTGGAGTTGTCCTACAACTAATTTAATACCTTTGCATTATCCACTTGCCTATAGGCCAACCCAAATCCTTATATTGGTGGATGGGGAAAAAAAAACAAAAAACCCACCCAATCCCTTTTGGTGTCCACTTTCTCCCATGATTAAGATGCTGGTGCCCCAAGGTACTCTTGCAATAGCTTGAAGCTTTGTGAGGTCATCTGTGGATTTGAGTACACCAGTCCCTCTTGCAGAAAATACTAGCACACTGCTTACCCTACTTCAGATAAAGTTGGCCAAAGAACAGGAGCTACAATGTGAGAATTTGGGCCTACCAAGTGGAGTGTTAACTGGAACCTCAGATTTGTAAGGCTTCACTGCCTGGACAAGCCAGCCATCTGCAAGGTTGCAAATGCTCTGTCCCGGTTAAGATAACTGGGCGAGAAAGACAAGCACCTTTGGAATGCTACCAATTCCATATACTCTTCATTGTTTCAGTGGGCCAGGTTTGTAAAACCTGTAAACAGTACATTTATATACTAGCATGTGCACACCATAATATGATCAAGGCCACCAAAAAGAGTAGAGTTTGCTCCATCTAGACAGTAAATTACACCAGAGTCATGTTTAAAATACTTTATTTTAAGAATACCAAGAGATTCTTCCAAGACTGGGGCACTTCATCTAAAAGGAGAACAACAGTTAGCATTATTAGTAAATATTAATTCAATCTGCTGGAATCATTAACTCACCTTAGCCTCCATTCAGGGCTCTAGGGTGACCTTGGGAAGAACTTTTGCTGTCCAAGTCCAGGATTCTGGGGGGTTTGTGGAGCATCAGACACATGTTCCTTTAGATAGTGAATTTCCTTAGAATAGTCTCTGCCCCTCTCATGATTTCTACTGAAGGTAGTGTAGGTGCCAGGAGGATATTGGCCAAACAGGAGCCTGTAGTCAAAAGCAGGGTAAGGGTAGGGAAGGCCATAAAGAGGAACAAGAGGGTAGGGCAACAAGCCACCAAAGCCAGGGTTTGTGGGGGCAGCTGGGTAGCCCGATTCCTCCGTCTCCCGCTGGTAATGCCCAAGTTCAGCTTCCTTTACTATGTTGGCAGTCTCCCCAGACTGAAGGGTAGGTCCTAGAGGCTGTGGAGGAGGGAGAAGGGCACCGACAACCTCAGCATCAGCTGCGGGTTCCTCAAAGGAAGGAGGAGCAACAACCCATTCTGCTAATAAAGGGGATAGAAGTACAGGGGTCAAGTTAAGGTTCATTTCATAAATGTTAAAGATTCAGCTATGGCATGTCACTAAAGAATTTTAGACCAATTACCTGTGGGGATAGGCTGAGCAGCGTCAGCCTGTTGAGAGGCAGCGTAGTATCCTGCCAACTGGGAACCATCACTAGAATATGCTGCAGGAATGGCATAGGGCCCATACTGTCCTGCCTGAACAGGAAAAGAACCTGGATATACTCCAGCCATTGGGCTCATGCCAACAAATGGTGCTGGTTGTTGTACTGGGAAAGGTTGACTAGGAACCTTTCCTACAGGAGCACTGAAGGATGCATGAGCAGCATGGGAAGGAGCTGCTACTCCCTGAGAAGCTGCATTGGTGCCACTGCCACCCTGCTGTTGGGATTTTGGAGCTAGACCCAAAGAATCATCTGTTAAATACCTGCCTTCATTTACTGAAAGTAAATTTGGTTAATACATCACCTTTCACAGGAAGTCCATGAACATCCAGCAGCAGCAAGGCAACAAGGGAAACCTGGAGGAAAAAAAAACTGATATAAGAAAGTGTAAACTCAAAAAGAAAATCAATCATACAAAAAAAAAAAGCACTTTACCCCCAGGAGGATGTGAAAAGTCATCATACTGAAGACCAGCAGTAACAGCAATGAGAGCATGAGGGTTTATAAATGGAACTGACGACCACTGGTTACCAATCAGAGCTTAACAAGCAAACAGCACACAGCTGTTCATGAGAGATTTCCAGTTAGGGAATTTGAAATCCATGTCAATTCTTTACATCCTGTTTTTAGACCTTTATTTATGTATTTATTTTGAACTTGTCAAAATATAAACATTTTCAATAAAGGAATTTTAAAACACAATGTTTATTTTTTACAGTTTCTTTAAACACTCGCTGTATACAAATTCATATTAAACTTCATAAAGGTAATGTGTTATCAAAGTTATCATACTGAATGTCTTTATTTAAAAAAAAAGAAAACTAAAATATGTAATAAGTAAAATAAGAGTTAAAGGAATAGTACACCCAAAACATGATTAGCCTTCATTTTCTACTCACCCCCATGCTGAACAACACTCTGGAGTACTTTTTTGATATCTCAAATGCATCTGGAGATCTGGGAGGCTTCTTGCTGTCTGCTGACATTCAAATAATGGAGGTCTATGGCGCCCGAGACAGAAAGGTCCATAAAAGTCCACAAAAAACGTGTCAATATTCCTCCATACTGCTCGTCCAATGTATTCCAAGTGTCCTGAGTGGGTAGCATCCAGAATTTACTCGAAACGAAGTCATTTAGAATGTTTTTAGAGCATAAACAGTGGTGTATAGGAAAAAACAGAAAAAACAGCATCTCTAGAAGTACAAACCAATGCAAAAAGAAGTTGGAAATAAGTGATTGTAAACTTTTAACTATCACTATCTCTGCCACCCCCCTTTCAGACATAGAAATCATCTTAAGACATTTAAAGATTTTGGAGCAATTCTAATAGCCAGCTGTATTAAAGTGTCTGACCAAATGGTGTCTTTCATCTTTATACCAAATGTTACATTCCTATTCAGAAATCCAAATTTTTAACCCTCATTTAGTTTTGCAAATATTTCCAAAGCTACATACACATTTCAATAAACATACTTTGTACAAAAAGTTGTGTTTTATTGAACTTTTTTTATAAAATTGAATTTAAAGAAACCAAAGGGGTGAAAGTGGGGGTTTAATCAGAGATAAACTGTTTTTTATTAGCATCACTCTGATACCAACTCATTTTAATAAGGCTCTCGATCTTTGCTATGGGTTTATTAAATATGATTTTAGATCATTCATACTCCCTCCTGAAGGATTCTAAGACCAAACCACCATCACGTTGGAGCCTGTATTTGTCTGTCTTAAAGAGGGAGGCAGCTCAGTTTAAAACAGTTAGGTCACACCTTTCAGACACTGTCTGTTTTGGACTCTACCCATTAGTCTGTGTTTACTAGGTAAGAGGCCCTCAGAATCCTTAATTTGCCCTGAACATACATTAACTTACCTGTGAAGAGGTTCTTGACCTTCAGAGCCTTAAGGACCAAATGAGAGGAATAGCTTTGTTTGCTTCTCTTTGTTCAACCATGGATGACATGAAACTACAATGGAATAAAATAGGGATTACGGATGGAAATGTAGGTAATTCTTTTACTCTGAGAATAAACTCTAAAGTCTCCTCATTTCTAGAGATCTATGGTTTGATTTGTGTGGACTGCATGGATTGCTGCAGACATCTGGTGAAAATATCAGCACCTCTAGAAATAGATTTGAGAAAAATGGAAGTCTGTTCAATACCCATTTCACTTGCTATACATTTATAGAGGCAGTGTAGCAACAGGTAATGACTTCACTAGTTGTACATTAAACATTTTGCCAGTATTAAAGCCTTTTTACCATTAAGTCGTATAAAGGTAAGCATTTCAATCTACAATAGTTCTTCAGTGGCAGTCCCAAAAGGTACCCATCCTTAGATCCTTTGGTATATTGCATTAGTGGTTTGAAAAAAAAAAAGTGAAAAGCCCAGGATTCTTAATCGACTTCTGAAATATGAAATGAGTCAGCCATCATATTCATACCCCTTTTAACATTCCGCAAAGTCAGCTTTGCACCTTTGATCATTTTCTTTGGAGTTTTAAATGTTTTGTTCCATGAATATTTCCTCTGGGCTAGTTGTGCTGCAATCCATTCGCTCTACATTTATCCAGTTATTTTCCAATGAGCCTTCAACATTGAGTATTGACCGTTTTGGAAGAGGGCTTTCAACCATGCAGTCTGTATAACCCTTTTCCATAAGTTTACTTTTAAAGGCCTCAAAGTAGAGGTAGGCTGATCGATAAATACAAGCACAGGTATTAAATACCCTTTTAAAAGTCCCTGCATAATTAGCAATATATATTTGTGAAACAAGCAGACCACTATGGCAATAGCCCTACTGCTCCACTTGTGAAAGTCAAGTCTGTTGGGCTCTTTTATACACCAAGACAATTAGTCTTATTGCCAGACAGGACACTGTCTACAACTCTTATAACATGACAAGTTCTATCCTCTCCCACACACACACACCAACTGCAGCAGATTCAGTCTCTCCATCCATGTTACAGCACTTTGACCCCCCCAGTCACTGGTTAATCCCACTAATCACATACACCTGCATGCAGTATGTTTATATACTAGCATGTGCACACCATAATATGATCAAGGCCACCAAAAAGAGTAGAGTTTGCTCCATCTAGACAGTAAATTACACCAGAGTCATGTTTAAAATACTTTATTTTAAGAATACCAAGAGATTCTTCCAAGACTGGGGCACTTCATCTAAAAGGAGAACAACAGTTAGCATTATTAGTAAATATTAATTCAATCTGCTGGAATCATTAACTCACCTTAGCCTCCATTCAGGGCTCTAGGGTGACCTTGGGAAGAACTTTTGCTGTCCAAGTCCAGGATTCTGGGGGGTTTGTGGAGCATCAGACACATGTTCCTTTAGATAGTGAATTTCCTTAGAATAGTCTCTGCCCCTCTCATGATTTCTACTGAAGGTAGTGTAGGTGCCAGGAGGATATTGGCCAAACAGGAGCCTGTAGTCAAAAGCAGGGTAAGGGTAGGGAAGGCCATAAAGAGGAACAAGAGGGTAGGGCAACAAGCCACCAAAGCCAGGGTTTGTGGGGGCAGCTGGGTAGCCCGATTCCTCCGTCTCCCGCTGGTAATGCCCAAGTTCAGCTTCCTTTACTATGTTGGCAGTCTCCCCAGACTGAAGGGTAGGTCCTAGAGGCTGTGGAGGAGGGAGAAGGGCACCGACAACCTCAGCATCAGCTGCGGGTTCCTCAAAGGAAGGAGGAGCAACAACCCATTCTGCTAATAAAGGGGATAGAAGTACAGGGGTCAAGTTAAGGTTCATTTCATAAATGTTAAAGATTCAGCTATGGCATGTCACTAAAGAATTTTAGACCAATTACCTGTGGGGATAGGCTGAGCAGCGTCAGCCTGTTGAGAGGCAGCGTAGTATCCTGCCAACTGGGAACCATCACTAGAATATGCTGCAGGAATGGCATAGGGCCCATACTGTCCTGCCTGAACAGGAAAAGAACCTGGATATACTCCAGCCATTGGGCTCATGCCAACAAATGGTGCTGGTTGTTGTACTGGGAAAGGTTGACTAGGAACCTTTCCTACAGGAGCACTGAAGGATGCATGAGCAGCATGGGAAGGAGCTGCTACTCCCTGAGAAGCTGCATTGGTGCCACTGCCACCCTGCTGTTGGGATTTTGGAGCTAGACCCAAAGAATCATCTGTTAAATACCTGCCTTCATTTACTGAAAGTAAATTTGGTTAATACATCACCTTTCACAGGAAGTCCATGAACATCCAGCAGCAGCAAGGCAACAAGGGAAACCTGGAGGAAAAAAAAACTGATATAAGAAAGTGTAAACTCAAAAAGAAAATCAAACATGCAAAAAAAAAAAAGCACTTTACCCCCAGGAGGATGTGAAAAGTCATCATACTGAAGACCAGCAGTAACAGCAATGAGAGCATGAGGGTTTATAAATGGAACTGACGACCACTGGTTACCAATCAGAGCTTAACAAGCAAACAGCACACAGCTGTTCATGAGAGATTTCCAGTTAGGGAATTTGAAATCCATGTCAATTCTTTACATCCTGTTTTTAGACCTTTATTTATGTATTTATTTTGAACTTGTCAAAATATAAACATTTTCAATAAAGGAATTTTAAAACACAATGTTTATTTTTTACAGTTTCTTTAAACACTCGCTGTATACAAATTCATATTAAACTTCATAAAGGTAATGTGTTATCAAAGTTATCATACTGAATGTCTTTATTTAAAAAAAAAGAAAACTAAAATATGTAATAAGTAAAATAAGAGTTAAAGGAATAGTACACCCAAAACATGATTAGCCTTCATTTTCTACTCACCCCCATGCTGAACAACACTCTGGAGTACTTTTTTGATATCTCAAATGCATCTGGAGATCTGGGAGGCTTCTTGCTGTCTGCTGACATTCAAATAATGGAGGTCTATGGCGCCCGAGACAGAAAGGTCCATAAAAGTCCACAAAAAACGTGTCAATATTCCTCCATACTGCTCGTCCAATGTATTCCAAGTGTCCTGAGTGGGTAGCATCCAGAATTACTCGAAACGAAGTCATTTAGAATGTTTTTAGAGCATAAACAGTGGTGTATAGGAAAAAACAGAAAAAACAGCATCTCTAGAAGTACAAACCAATGCAAAAAGAAGTTGGAAATAAGTGATTGTAAACTTTTAACTATCACTATCTCTGCCACCCCCTTTCAGACATAGAAATCATCTTAAGACATTTAAAGATTTTGGAGCAATTCTAATAGCCAGCTGTATTAAAGTGTCTGACCAAATGGTGTCTTTCATCTTTATACCAAATGTTACATTCCTATTCAGAAATCCAAATTTTTAACCCTCATTTAGTTTTGCAAATATTTCCAAAGCTACATACACATTTCAATAAACATACTTTGTACAAAAAGTTGTGTTTTATTGAACTTTTTTTATAAAATTGAATTTAAAGAAACCAAAGGGGTGAAAGTGGGGGTTTAATCAGAGATAAACTGTTTTTTATTAGCATCACTCTGATACCAACTCATTTTAATAAGGCTCTCGATCTTTGCTATGGGTTTATTAAATATGATTTTAGATCATTCATACTCCCTCCTGAAGGATTCTAAGACCAAACCACCATCACGTTGGAGCCTGTATTTGTCTGTCTTAAAGAGGGAGGCAGCTCAGTTTAAAACAGTTAGGTCACACCTTTCAGACACTGTCTGTTTTGGACTCTACCCATTAGTCTGTGTTTACTAGGTAAGAGGCCCTCAGAATCCTTAATTTGCCCTGAACATACATTAACTTACCTGTGAAGAGGTTCTTGACCTTCAGAGCCTTAAGGACCAAATGAGAGGAATAGCTTTGTTTGCTTCTCTTTGTTCAACCATGGATGACATGAAACTACAATGGAATAAAATAGGGATTACGGATGGAAATGTAGGTAATTCTTTTACTCTGAGAATAAACTCTAAAGTCTCCTCATTTCTAGAGATCTATGGTTTGATTTGTGTGGACTGCATGGATTGCTGCAGACATCTGGTGAAAATATCAGCACCTCTAGAAATAGATTTGAGAAAAATGGAAGTCTGTTCAATACCCATTTCACTTGCTATACATTTATAGAGGCAGTGTAGCAACAGGTAATGACTTCACTAGTTGTACATTAAACATTTTGCCAGTATTTAGGCCTTTTTACCATTAAGTCGTATAAAGGTAAGCATTTCAATCTACAATAGTTCTTCAGTGGCAGTCCCAAAAGGTACCCATCCTTAGATCCTTTGGTATATTGCATTAGTGGTTTGAAAAAAAAAAAGTGAAAAGCCCAGGATTCTTAATCGACTTCTGAAATATGAAATGAGTCAGCCATCATATTCATACCCCTTTTAACATTCCGCAAAGTCAGCTTTGCACCTTTGATCATTTTCTTTGGAGTTTTAAATGTTTTGTTCCATGAATATTTCCTCTGGGCTAGTTGTGCTGCAATCCATTCGCTCTACATTTATCCAGTTATTTTCCAATGAGCCTTCAACATTGAGTATTGACCGTTTTGGAAGAGGGCTTTCAACCATGCAGTCTGTATAACCCTTTTCCATAAGTTTACTTTTAAAGGCCTCAAAGTAGAGGTAGGCTGATCGATAAATACAAGCACAGGTATTAAATACCCTTTTAAAAGTCCCTGCATAATTAGCAATATATATTTGTGAAACAAGCAGACCACTATGGCAATAGCCCTACTGCTCCACTTGTGAAAGTCAAGTCTGTTGGGCTCTTTTATACAGGTGCTGGTCATAAAATTAGAATATCATGAAAAAGTAGATTGATTTCAGTAATTCCATTTAAAAAGTGAAACTTGTATATTATATTCATACATTACATACAAACTCATATATTTCAGATGTTTATTTTGTTTAATTTTGATGATTACAAATGACAACAAATGAAAATCTCAAATTCATCATATCAGAAAATTAGAATATTGTGAAAAGGTTCAAAATTGATGGCCCCTGGTGCCACACTCTAATCAGCTAATTAACTCAAACCACCTGCAAAAGCCTTTAAATGGTCTTTCAGTCTAGTTCTATAGGCTACACAATCATGGGGAAGACTGCTGACTTGACAGTTGTCCAAAAGACGACCATCGACACCTTGCACAAGGAGGGCAAGACACAAAAGGTCATCGCTAAAGAGGCTGGCTGTTCACAGAGCTCAGTGTCCAAGCACATTAATAGAGAGGCGAAGGGAAGGAAAAGATGTGGTCGAAAAAAGTGTACAAGCAAGAGAGATAACCGCACCCTGGAGAGGATTGTGAAACAAAACCCATTCAAAAATGTGGGGGAGATTCACAAAGAGTGGACTGCAGCTGGAGTGAGTGCTTCAAGAACCACCACACACAGACGTATGAAAGACATGGGTTTCTGCTGTCGCATTCCTTGTGTCAAGCCACTCTTGAACCACAGACAGCGTCAGAAGCGTCTTGCCTGGGCTAAAGAGAAACAGGACTGGACTGCTGGTGAGTGGTCCAAAGTCATGTTCTCTGATGAAAGTAAATTTTGCATTTCCTTTGGAAATCAAGGTCCCAGTGTCTGGAGGAAAAGAAGAGAGGCACTTCATCCACGTTGCTTGAAGTCCAGTGTAAAGTTTCCACAGTCAGTGATGGTTTGGGGTGCCATGTCATCTGCTGGTGTTGGTCCATTGTGTTTTCTGAGGTCCAGGGTCAACGCAGCCACATACCAGGAAGTTTTAGAGCACTTCATGCTTCCTGCAGCTGACCAACTTTTTGGAGATGCAGATTTCATTTTCCAACAGGACTTGGCACCTGCACACAGTGCCAAAGCTACCAGTACCTGGTTGAAGGACCATGGTATCCCTGTTCTTAATTGGCCAGCAAACTCTCCTGACCTTAACCCCATAGAAAATCTATGGGGTATTGTGAAGAAGAAGATGCAATACACCAGACCCAACAATTCAGAAGAGCTAAAAGCCACTATTAGAGCAACCTGGGCTATCATAACACCTGAGCAGTGCCACAGACTGATCGACTCCATGCCACGCCGCATTGCTGCAGTAATACAGGCCAAAGGAGGCCCAACTAAATACTGAGTGCTGTACATGCTCATACTTTTCAGTTGGCCAACATTTCTATAAATCCTTTGTTTTTATTGGTCTTCAGTAATATTCTAATTTTCTGATATGATGAATTTGAGATTTTCATTTGTTGTCATTTGTAATCATCAAAATTAAACAAAACATCTGAAATATATGAGTTTGTATGTAATGTATGAATATAATATACAAGTTTCACTTTTTAAATGGAATTACTGAAATCAATCTACTTTTTCATGATATTCTAATTTTATGACCAGCACCTGTACACCAAGACAATTAGTCTTATTGCCAGACAGGACACTGTCTACAACTCTTATAACATGACAAGTTCTATCCTCTCCCACACACACCAACTGCAGCAGATTCAGTCTCTCCATCCATGTTACAGCACTTTGACCCCCCCAGTCACTGGTTAATCCCACTAATCACATACACCTGCATGCAGTATGTTTATATACTAGCATGTGCACACCATAATATGATCAAGGCCACCAAAAAGAGTAGAGTTTGCTCCATCTAGACAGTAAATTACACCAGAGTCATGTTTAAAATACTTTATTTTAAGAATACCAAGAGATTCTTCCAAGACTGGGGCACTTCATCTAAAAGGAGAACAACAGTTAGCATTATTAGTGAATATTAATTCAATCTGCTGGAATCATTAACTCACCTTAGCCTCCATTCAGGGCTCTAGGGTGACCTTGGGAAGAACTTTTGCTGTCCAAGTCCAGGATTCTGGGGGGTTTGTGGAGCATCAGACACATGTTCCTTTAGATAGTGAATTTCCTTAGAATAGTCTCTGCCCCTCTCATGATTTCTACTGAAGGTAGTGTAGGTGCCAGGAGGATATTGGCCAAACAGGAGCCTGTAGTCAAAAGCAGGGTAAGGGTAGGGAAGGCCATAAAGAGGAACAAGAGGGTAGGGCAACAAGCCACCAAAGCCAGGGTTTGTGGGGGCAGCTGGGTAGCCCGATTCCTCCGTCTCCCGCTGGTAATGCCCAAGTTCAGCTTCCTTTACTATGTTGGCAGTCTCCCCAGACTGAAGGGTAGGTCCTAGAGGCTGTGGAGGAGGGAGAAGGGCACCGACAACCTCAGCATCAGCTGCGGGTTCCTCAAAGGAAGGAGGAGCAACAACCCATTCTGCTAATAAAGGGGATAGAAGTACAGGGGTCAAGTTAAGGTTCATTTCATAAATGTTAAAGATTCAGCTATGGCATGTCACTAAAGAATTTTAGACCAATTACCTGTGGGGATAGGCTGAGCAGCGTCAGTCGGTTGAGAGGCAGCGTAGTATCCTGCCAACTGGGAACCATCACTAGAATATGCTGCAGGAATGGCATAGGCCCCATACTGTCCTGCCTGAACAGGAAGAGAACCTGGATATACTCCAGCCATTGGGCTCATGCCAGCAAATGGTGCTGGTTGTTGTACTGGGAAAGGTTGACTAGAAACCTTTCCTACAGGAGCACTGAAGGACGCATGAGCAGCATGGGAAGGAGCTGCTACTCCCTGCTGCATTGGTGCCACTGCCACCCTGCTGTTGGGATTTTCGAGCTAAACCCGAAGAATCATCTGTTAAATACCTGCCTTAATTTACTGAAAGTAAAGTTGGTTAATACATCACCTTTCACAGGAAGTCCATGAACATCCAGCAGCAGCAAGGCAAACCTGGAGACAAAAGAAAACTGATATAAGAAAGTGTAAACTCAAAAGAAACTCAAACGTGCAAAAAAAAAAAAAAAAAAAAAGTACTTTACCCCCAGGAGGATCTGAAAAGTCATCATACTGAAGACCAGCAGTAACAGCAATGAGAGCATGAGGGTTTATAAATGGAACTGACGACCACTGGTTACCAATCAGAGCTTAACTAGCAAACAGCACACAGCTGTTGATGAGAGATTTCCAGTTAGGGAAGTTGAAATCCATGTCAATTCTTTACACCCTGTTTTTAGACCTTTATTTATGTATTTATTTTGAACTTGTCAAAATATAAACATTTCGAATAAAAGAATGTAAAAACACAATGTTTATTTTTTACATACACTCGCTGTATACAAATTCATATTAAACTTCATAAAGGTAATGTGTTATCAAAGTTATCATACTGAATGTCTTTATTTAAAAAAAAAGAAAACTAAAATATGTAATAAGTAAAATAAGAGTTAAGTTAAATTAAAGCAGATATTAAAATCATATTGCTCTTGTCATATAGTCTACTTCTGTTGCTGTTGCAGCTTTTTAACAACTTCTAATGTTTTTTTTTTTTTTTTCAAAAAGTGGCCCTCAATGTTCAAATCTGCTGAGTTACAGTTACAGTCAAAGAAACAACTCAGCTAATCAGAACAACACTCCTGTGTGAGCACTGCCATTTAAAGACAAAACTAACAGAAAAAACAGCATCTCTAGAAGTACAAACCAATGCAAAAAGAAGTTGGAAATAAGTGATTGTAAACTTTTAACTATCACTATCTCTGCCACCCCCCTTTGAGACATAGAAATCATTTTAAGACATCTAAAGATTTTTGAGCAATTCTAATAGCCAGTTGTATTAAAGTGTCTGACCAAATGGTATCTTTCATCTTTATACCAAATGTTACATTCCTATTCAGAAATCCAAATTTTTAACCCTCATTTAGTTTTGCAAATATTTCCAAAGCTACATACACATTTCAATAAACATACTTTGTACAAAAAGTTGTGTTTTTGTTGATTTTTTTTTTATTAAATTGAATTTAAAGAAACCAAAGGAGTGAAAGTGGGGGTTTAATCAGAGATAAACTGATTTTTATTAGCATCACTCTGATACCAACTCATTTTAATAAGGCTCTCGATCTTTGCTATGGGTTTATTAAATATGATTTTAGATCATTCATACTCCCTCCTGAAGGATTCTAAGACCAAACCACCATCACGTTGGAGCCTGTATTTGTCTGTCTTAAAGAGGGAGGCAGCTCAGTTTAAAACAGTTAGGTCACGCCTTTCAGACGCTGTCTGTTTTGGACTCTACCCATTAGTCTGTGTTTACTAAGTAAGAGGCCCTCAGAATCCTTAATTTGCCCTGAACATACATGAACTTACCTGTGAAGAGATTCTTGACATTCAGAGCCTTAAGGACCAAATGAGAGGAATAGCTTTGTTTGCTCGCCTTTGTTCAACCATGGATGACATGAAACTACAGTGGAATAAAATTGGGATTATTATTACTGATGGCAGTGTAGATAATTTTTTTTATTCTGAAAATAAACTCCAAAGTCTCTGTGAATTGCTTTTTTGTAACATATCACAGTTTTTGTCACATTTCTATTTGCTTTGATTTGTCAAAAACACTGGAATGTGATTTGTTCAAACAAAATCAAAACATAAAATTTAAGGCAAGTTCATGAAATCGTTCATTTGTAATTACGTCTTAAACTTTAACAATCCTGGTAATGCAAATATTTGCAATATTATCCTATCTGTAGAAAGTAAAGTTATGTAGTTACATAATTACATTATTATTTACAATGGTAATGGTTTGAGGAATGTCAGGCCCCAATACATTTTCATCTGACCAAATCTGGCTCTACTTTTAAAAGGTTTTGATACCCCTGGTTTATGGGGAAATGTTCTTTCCACTTCTGGATCATTGCCCAACAGTTCTCACTGGAACATTCAGAAGTTTAGAATTCCTTCTGTAACCAATGCCATTGTTTCCAACAATAAGGTTGCAAAGGTCTTGAGAATGACTCAGAATCTTCACCAGCATCTTAAGAAAGGTCTTTACTTTTACCCATCATGTCTTGTGCATCTCCAGTAACACCTTTTTATACGCCATCATTTGGCACTGAAGCAGTTGATATTCAAGCAGGATTGCTTTCCAATTACAAGATTTCAGCTGGTGTCTTGGATTTCCATGCCTCTTTGAACCTCTTGTTCAATACTTTTCCTCTGTGCCATTTCAATTACACAACTTCCTAATTTCTGGACATCTATGGTTGGATTTGTGTGGAGTGCATGGATTAATGCAGACATCTGGTAAAAATGCCAGCATCTCTTGAAATAGATTTGAGAAAAATGGAAGTTTGTTCAATACCCATTTCACTTGCTGTACATTTATACAGTGGAGCAACAGGTAATGACTTCACTAGTTGTACATTAAACATTTTGCCAGTATTTTTAGGCCTTTTTACCATTAGGTCTTGGAGAGGGGGTAATCGTTTCAAATTTACCATAGTTCTGCAGTGGCTGACCACATTCTTTCGGCATAGTGTATAGCCAATAAGCCATTTCCTTTTGATTCCCCTCAGTACCCATCCTTATATCCTTTGGTATATTGCATTAATAGTTTGAGGAAAAAAAGTAAGAAGCCCAGAATTCTTAATCGACTTCCTTTATCCAGAAAGCCTGAAATAGGTCAGCCATCATATTGTTACCCCTTTTAATATTCTGCAAAATCAGCTTTGCACCTTTGATCATTTTCTTTGGAGTTTTAAATGTTTTGTTCCATGAATATTTCCTCTGGGCTAGTTGTGCTGCAATCCATTAGCTCTACATTTATCCATGTCCAGTGTGCCTTCAACATTGAGTGTTGACCGTTTTTAAAGAGGCCTTCCAACCATGCATTCTGAATAACCCTTTCCGTTATGTTTATTTTTAAAGGCCTCAAAGTAGAGGTAGGCTGATGGATATCAATACAAGTGCAGGTATTTAATACCCTTTTAAAAGTCCCTGCATAATTAGCAATATATATTTATGAAACAAGCAGACCACTATGGCAATAGCGCTACCGCTCCACTTGTGGAAGTAAAATCTGTTGGGCTCTTTTTGCACCAAGAAAATTATTCTTATTGCCACATTGCCAGACAGGACACTGTATATAACATGATTGACAAGTTTTATTCTCTCCCACACGCCCCAACTGCAGCAGATTCATTCTCTCCATCCGTGTTACAGATCTTTGATCCCCCATCCCCTTGTTAATCCCACTAATCACATACACCTGCATGCAGTACATTTATATACTAGCATATGCACACAACTTGATCAAAGCCACCAAGGAATGTGAAGTTTTCCTCTATACAGTAAACTAAATCAGAGTCATGTTTAAAATACTTTATTTTAAGAATACCAAGAGATTCTTCCAAGACTGGGGAACTTCATCTAAGAGGAGAACAACAGTTAGCATCATTAGTAAATATTAATTAAATCTGCTGGAATCATCAACTCACCTTAGCCTCCATTCAGGGCTCTAGGGTGACCTTGGGAAGAACTTTTGCTGTCCAAGTCCAGGATTCTGGGGGGTTTGTGGAGCATCAGACACATGTTCCTTTAGATAGTGAATTTCCTTAGAATAGTCTCTGCCCCTCTCATGATTTCTACTGAAGGTAGTGTAGGTGCCAGGAGGATATTGGCCAAACAGGAGCCTGTAGTCAAAAGCAGGGTAAGGGTAGGGAAGGCCATAAAGAGGAACAAGAGGGTAGGGCAACAAGCCACCAAAGCCAGGGTTTGTGGGGACAGCTGGGTAGCCCGATTCCTCCGTCTCCCGCTGGTAATGCCCAAGTTCAGCTTCCTTTACTATATTGGCAGTCTCCCCAGACTGAAGGGTAGGTCCTAGAGGCTGTGGAGGAGGGAGAAGGGCGCCAACAACCTCAGAATCAGCTGCAGGTTCCTCAAAAGAAGGAGGAGCAACAACCCATTCTGCTAATAAAGGGGATAGAAGTAGGGGTTAAGTTAAGGTTTGTTCATAAATGCTAAAGATTCAGCTATGGCATGTCACTAAACCATTTTAGACCAATTACCTGTGGGGATAGGCTGAGCAGCGTCAGCCGGTTGAGAGGCAGCATAATATCCTGCCAACTGGGAACCATCACTAGAATATGCTGCAGGAATGGCATAGGCCCCATACTGTCCTGGTTGAACAGGAAAAGAACCTAGATATACTCCAGCCATTGGGCTCATGCCAACAAATGGTGCTGGTTGTTGCACTGGGAAAGGGTGACTAGGAACCTTTCCTACAGGAGCACTGAAGGACGCATGAGCAGCATGGGAAGGAGCTGCTACTCCCTGAGAAGCTGCATTGGTGCCACTGCCACCCTGCTGTTGGGATTTTGGAGCTAGACCCGAAGAATCATCTGTTAAATACCTGCCTTAATTTACTGAAAGTAAATTTGTTTTATACATCACCTTTCACAGGAAGTCCATGAACATCCAGCAGCAGCAATGCAACAAGGGAAACCTGGAGGAAAAAAAAAACTGACATAAGAAAGTGTAAACTCAAAAGAATAGCAAACACAAAAAAAATTACTTTACCCCCAGGAGGATCTGAAAATTCATCATACTGAAGACCAGCAGTAACAGCAATGAGAG